GGATGAGATCTTAATGGGCATGTAGGTACTACAAGCGTAGATTTCGAGGCAGTTCATGAAGGTTTTAGGTATGGTAATAGGAATCAGGAGGGAGAGAAAGTTCTGGACTTCGCGGTAGCTTTTGACCTGATGATAGCCAACACTTTCTTTAGAAAGAGAGAATCTCATCTAGTGGCCTTCAGTAGCGAACAACACTCTAGCCAGATTGACTTTGTCCTCACAAGAAAAAAGGACAAACGAGCATGCTTGGGTTGCAAGGTGATACCAGGGGAGTGTGTTGTTTCTCAACATAAGCTTTTGGTGGTAGACTTTCATTTTCAGGTGCATGCCCGTAAGGATAAACAAGCTAAGATAAAAAAAATAAAGTGGTGGAAACTGAAAGGGAAGACGTCAGAGATATTCAGGGAAAGGGTTATCAAAGAGGGCTCTTGGAAGAAAGAAGAGGACATAAACAACATGTGGGAGAAGATGGCAACCAACATTCGGAAGGTGGCCTCAGAGATGTGTGGAGTAACCAAAGGAAGTGGAGGCGAGGCTAAAGATACTTGGTGGTGGAACGAGGAAGTCCAAAGGGCTATTAAGGAGAAGAAAGAATGCTATAGACGCTTGTACCATGACAGGAGTGTGGACAACATAGAAAAGTACAAGGTGGCAAAGAAGACTGCAAAGCGAGCTGTAAGTGTGGCAAATGGTAGAGCGTACGAGGATATTTACCAACGTTTGAGTACGAAGAAAGGAGAGAATGACATTTATAGGATGGCTAGGGTTCGTGAGAAAAAGACAAGGGACTTCAACCAAGTTAAGTGCATTAAGGATGAAAGGGAGCATCTCTTGGTGAAGGGGGATGAGATCCAACATCGATGGCAAGAGTATTTTGACAAATTGTTCAATGGTGAAAATACAGACACAACCTTTTAGTTGGATGACTCTTTTGATGACACCAATAGGCGCTTTGTGCGGAGAATCCAAGAATATGAGGTCAGAGAGGCGTTGAAAAGGATGAAAGAAGGTAAGGTGATGGGACCGGATGGTATCCCAATTGAGGTGTGGAGATCCCGGAAGGTCAACCATGGAAGTCATTTTCTTAATAAGACAAGTTATGGAGCGGTATAGGCAGAAGAAGAAAGACCTACAACATGGTTTTTATTGACTTGGAGAAGGCTTATGATAAAATATCAAGGAATGTTATGTGGTGGGCTTTGAACAAACATAAAGTCCCAACGAAGTACGTCGGGCTTATTAAGGACATGTACAATAATGTTGCGACTAGAGTTCGAACAAGTGATGGAGACACGGATGACTTTCCGTTTAGGATAGGACTACATCAAGGGTCAGCTTGGAGCCCATATCTGTTTGCCTTAGTGATGGATGAGTTCACAAGGGACATACAAGGGGACATTCCTTGGTGTATGCTTTTCGCGGACGATGTAGTGCTAGTTGATGAAAGCCGGATAGGAGTGAATCAGAAACTAGAATTATGGCGGGAGACTTTGGAGTCCAAAGGTTTTAGACTCAGTAGAACTAAAACTGGGTATATGAGATGTGACTTCGGCACTACTACTCGGGAGGAGTAAGATATTAGTTTGAAAGGTCAAGTAGTGCCTAGGAAGGATACCTTTCGATATTTATGATCAATGCTATAGAGAGACGGGGATATTAATGAAGATGTTAGCCATAGAATCAAAGTAGGGTGGATGAAGTAGCGATAAGCATCTGGTGTCCTATGTGATAAAAGGGTACCACAGAAGCTAAAAGGCAAGTTTTATAGGATGGCTATTAGACCTGCTATGTTGTATGGTGCAGAATGTTGGCCTACGAAAAGACGTCATGTTCAACAGATAAGTGTCGCGGAAATACGTATGTTGCGTTGGATTTACGGTCATACAAGAAGGGATCGAGTTCGGAACGATGATATACGTAATAGATTAGGGGTAGCACCAATTGAAGAAAAGCTTGTCCAACACCGGTTGAGATGGTTTGGACATGTCCAACGGAGACCTCAAGAGGCACCGGTGTGTAGTGGAATCCTAAGCCAGGATAGTAACGTGAAGAGAGGCAGAGGAAGACCGAAGTTGACTTGGGTAGAGGCAATAAAAGAAGTCTTGAAAGGATGGAATATACCCAAAGACTTAGCCTTAGATAGGAGTGCTTGGAAGATAGCTATTCACGTGCCTGAACCTTGATTGCTTCTGCTGGGTTTCAACTCTAGTCTACCCCAACTTGTTTGGGACTTAAAAGCTTTGTTGTTGTTGTTCTTGTTGTAATCATGCTCTATATTGTGATGTCTAGCTTGGAGTTCTTTTAATCTTATATGTTCTTCTATTGGTGTTTATTTCTTAGTAGATGATCTCATTATTTGTTACAATCAATCTATGTTGCTGGCACAAACCAAGTAGGAGTTCAACTGATTACACTAAAAAAATATGTCACGTAACCACCTCATACTCGATCATATTTAATATAAACACTAGTGTCACCTGTACATGCATGTTCACATATATGCACACTTATGCACGCATGCACACCCGGCCCATCCCTTGTTAGTATAGATCTTAAGATTGACAAAGGCACCACATATGACTTGATGTTGACATTTTAAAAATGTTTTTGTTAACTTATTTTCACATCATTTTTGTGCTAATAGTTCAAATCTCACCGAATTTGAATGTTTGTAGCCGGTGGGATATGTCATTATCAACATAGGCTAACTAGAATAGATAGTGAGATTATCTACTAGCAAATAAACACCAAAAGAAGGCCATGCAAGATTCAAATAAATCCTAGCTAGGACCATAAGATACAACATGATTTTAGCAAAAAAAAAAAAGAAACTAGTTCCATATTTTATCCCAAGTTAAAACAGGTTTTGTATATGTTTTCTAAGACTAGATCAGATTTTAGAAAATATTTGAATTTTAAAACTGTAGCTATGAATTAATTACAGAAAAACATACACTAATTAGTCCACCATAAAAATTTCACCATAATTGGACCATAGAAACTGCAGCTATGAATTAATTATAGAAAATCATAAATCTAAGACTATAGCAAAAAATTTATAATAAAGAATATCATATTATATATTCACTGTATAGATCTCCTCGTATGGAGTTCAACGGAATTGGATTTTCTATTTTATGATTTTTCTATAATTTACTATAATTTTTTCAAAGATTCAGCCAAAATAAATAAAAAGGAAAAAGATAAAACCGTCTTTGAAAACCGCTTATAACCGGTCAGGGAGGTAAAACGAATGGTTTTAAAAGTTTAGGAAGGTGGTTTACCTAATTTTAGAGTTCAGGGAGGAAAAACAAACTTTCGTAAAAGTTAAGGAAGGTACTATGGATTTTTTCCCATGCATTTTTGTTTTCCTTTGGAGCACCGTTACTTGGGCTTCAAGTGGGCCAGGCCTTTACCACCTTAGCTAACCATTGTCCTCTGCAGTCGGGCCCACCAGCACAAATCAAGCTTGCTCAAAAAGGGAAAAAACAGCCTATATTGAGCATGACGCTGGTGCTGCCTATACATGGCCAACCGGGCCGCACGGCACGGCACATGCACGAGTACGGACAGGCACGACATTATGCAGCACGCCAGCTAGCCGTGCCGTGCCTGTTAGTGCCGCCGTCTTGGCCCAGGCACGGCACTATGGTCTCTGAGTCGTGCCGTGCCGGCCCTGGCTCAACGCCGCGCCCAGCCACCGCCGTCACCGCGCCAGGCTGCCGCCTCGTCGCATCGACTCCGTGCAGCCGTTGCCGATCCCGCGCCTAGGCTCGCCATAGATGCAGATCTGGCGCGGGCGCGCCCCTGGCCGAGCGCCGCCGCCGCGGGGATGCGCCCTCGGCTGAGCGCTGCCGTCGCGTTGCCGCGCCGTGGTCGCCGCGCCACTCTCCAACTCCCCCGCACCGAGGTTATCGTGACGCTGTGGGACAGGAGGAGGAGGCACAGTGGGCAGCAGTGGTGGAGAGTCTGGGCATAGAACAGAGGAATCGAACACGGGGAGGAGGCTGCGAGATGGAGGAGGACGAGAGGATATTGGGGAGGAGGCCGTGGGGACTGGGCAGTATAGGGAAATTAGGAGTTAGGGTTTGGGGAGGTGATTATATACTCCAATCCATGGGTTGAAAATCTCTGAAATCATCCAATGGCTACAAACTATCGGGCTACAACGTGGCGGTCCAAAATTCGTGCCGTGCCCGTGCCGGCACTACGGGCCAAACCTGCGGCCCAGGCACTGCACTACCACCGACCCGTGCCAGGCACGGACACGGTGGGAGCCGGGCCGGACCGTGCCTAGGCCGTGCTTCTTCGTGCCGTGCCTGGACCGGCCCATTGTGCCCGTGCCAGATGGCCAAATATAGCGCTGCCATAGGACATGAACCGACGCGACAACGTGCGAACCTCGCACGGGCGGCACCCAAGCGGGGGCAGGCGAGAACGACAGCATGATCAGGCCATGTCTGGCCGTTTGGGCCAAATTCCATTTAAATTTACATAAATTTTAATGACCAGTCAACACAAGTGGGTATCGGTCTGAATTTCTCTAATTTCGTCTATTTCGGTGAGCTCCAAATCTTTTTGCACAAAAGAATTCCAAAACATTACGATGAGCTCCTATTTTTTTGCAGAAAAGACTCCCAAAACCTTTTTTTTTTTGCGAACAGACTCCCAAAACATTGACTAACACGCATTCCAAAACCCACACCCGTTGGCCGTCGGCCCGTCTCATCTTCGGCTTCGACTGGGACGGTATGCACACCTGAAACCTATGTATATAGACCAATTGGCAATTGCACGGACATGCATGCTGTCAACCTGTGACGGTCTCACAGCACAGGCAAGTGCAAAATTTCCTTTGCCCAGCCGCCTATCATCTACTCACTCATCATTCGCGATTCGCGAAGGCCGGTCGGGCCCATAAAAAAATGCACGCAACATGATCAGTTCATGTCCCAGCAGGATCGCGATCGACGTCGTTGATACGGCGGCAGGGTCATCGATCATGTGCCCTCTTGGATGGTGGTGATGGTGAGGTCGTTCGCGCTGCACGACGCGGACGCGGTGCCGTGCGACCGCGTCCTTACCTCCGACGACCCGTCGTCGCTGCTGCTGACCCTGAGCGAGAAGTGCGGCGGCCGCCTCGGATCGGGCAGCGACGCCGCCGCCGCACCGCCATCCCTGCTGGCCAGCATCGCCGTCACGTCGGCCATGGTGGGCCGGTCCGTGGCGCTGTCCTGCACGCACAGCAGCGCCACCTTGACGCACCGCATGATGGCCGCCACGTCGCTGCACTCGCCCAGCGTCGGGTCGATCAGCTCGAACGATCGCCCTTCCCTCCATAGCTGCCAGGCCTGTGCACGCAGTGCAAACCAACGAACACATCGTCGCACGTCATACATAATTCAGCCGCGTCAAGTTCTTGCATACCGTGTGTAGCAAGTGATCGAATTTGCAGTAGATGAGATGACGATACTCCGACTACTTACGTATCCGAGCAGATTGATGAAGTCGCTGTATTGGTGGTGGCCACTGTTCCTCTTGCCGCTGACGATCTCCAGCAGCAGCACGCCGAAGCTGTACACGTCCGACTTGACCGAGAAGATGCCCTCGGAAGCGTACTCGGGGCCATGCATGTAGCCACTATATGATAAAAGTCAAAAAGAAATGTCAGTTGTTGCAGAAAAAACAGAACACCACTAGCGAAATGAACATTAGCGAATTGGAAAGTTGCACATGAAGGTCTCGTTGGTCTCTTACTATGTTCCGACGACCCTGTTGGTGTTGGCTTCCGTCATGTTGGATCCGAAGATCCTGGCCATGCCGAAGTCCGAGATCTTGGGGTTCAGGTCCTTGTCCAGCAAAATGTTGCTCGCCTTCAGGTCCCGGTGAATGATGCGCACCCGTGAGTGCTTGTGCAGGTAGAGCAGCCCCTGCACGATGCCCTCGATGATGCGCAGCCGCTTCTCCCAGTCCAGCAACGGCCCCCGCTGCTGGTCTGAACGCCAGGGTCGTCCGTCGTCAGACAAAACGTGCATGCTTGGACTTCGATTAAACTTATGTATGTAGCGTACCGCGTACGTACCAAAGATGAAGCCGTCGAGGCTGCGATTGGGCATGTACTCGTAGACGAGCATCTTCTCCTCGCCCTGGACGCAGCAGCCGACGAGGCGCACCAGGTTTGTGTGCTGCAGCTTAGCGATCAGCTGGATCTCGTTCTTGAACTCCTCCAGACCCTGCCCGGATTGCGCCGCCAGCCGCTTCACCGCGATCTCCGCGCCGTCCGCCAGCTTCCCCTGCAGCCGATCGAACTAGAGTCAGGCATGGCTTACTTGGCAAGCGCTAGGAACCTGAAATGATCGAAACGTCAGCTCGCCTTGTAGACGGGGCCGAAGCCGCCTTTGCCGAGCAGATTCTCGTCGGAGAAGTCGCCTGTCGCGGCGGCCAGCTCGGCGAAGTCGTACAGCGTGAACTCCGAGCTGCTCTCCTCGATCCGCCATAGCTTCAGCGCCTCCTCCGCCTTGGAGCTGTTTCTCGAATGTGTCTGCGTCGTCGGCAGCCTCGTCTTTCCTGGATCATTGCAGGCAGGTTTCCGGCCGGCTCAGTTTTAATTACGCCTTTAACGTAACATTACACTTTTCTGACATACTAGCTAGAATGTAAGTACTTTTGTCCATACGGGCTCGTTTTCTTTGTGCTCTGACGAGGAGAAGGCCGGCAACCAGCAAGCCACAGACAAGAGCGATTGGCACGACAAGAGCGATGACCACGACCTTTTTGTGGTTGCTTGCTGCATCGTCATTTTCACAAGGAAAAAAGTAATAAGAAACGATAATAATGCAGTTCGCTGGAACCACTAGTAAGTCTACGACTGAATAAAGAACAAACATGTAAATATAGGGCAATGCTTTGCTAGTTGGCAAAATACATGTTTACCTACCATCGGTTCCATTATCCTCCGGCGAGGACGACGACGGGCCACCGTGCAGCCCGATCCTGACGTCGGGCGTGCCCTGGTAGAACTGGTACCCCTCATACCGGAATCCGCACCGGACGCCGGAGATGCGTCCGCCCTCGCGTCCGTCGTACCACTGGCGGTTGAGCTCCCCGAGCCCCTGGAAGCAGTGCCAGCACTGCGCGGGCGCGAGGTCCGGGGTGCACTGCGCGAGGCCGTACACGGTGGGCAGCCCCGCGTTGATGAACATGACGGCGGTGGCGAGCCGCCGGTGCCGCGACGAGTTGTAGGCCCCGTACATGGACATCTCGCCGAACAGCGTGCCCACCAGGGACAGGAAGAAGCTCCGGCTCGTGACGTTGCCGGGGTCCCACCCCGGGTACGTCGACGCGTTCGCGTCCATGCCGTTCACGACGGGGGAGTTGTCGACGCTGTCGGCGGTGAGCCGCAGGAAGTCGCCGCCGGAGTAGCGCGCCGTGCACAGGTCGGCGTAGAACGTGGCGTCGCGGTCGACCCCGCAGAGGCGGCGCAGCTGGGCGAAGGCGTCGGCGAGGCAGGCCCGGCAGGCGCGCGCGTCTGTCATGTCACCGCGGCACAGCGCGAGGCCGTACGCGGTGTCGGTGTTGGAGGCGGACCCGGTGACTGATGCTGACACGAAGAGCGATGGGGAGGCGGAGGCGTTGCCGGGAAGCTCGGCGATGAGGCGGTCCAGGTTGGCGGCGAACGCGCTGCCGGAGGTGAAGTTGCCCGTGGTGCCATTGCACGTGTACTCCGCGTACTCGGCGGCGGCTCTGTGCGACGGCGGCGCGGAGAGTAGCTGGAGGAGGAGGAAGAGGAGGCAGGGGGAGAGGACGGGGACGGCCATGCCGAGCGAGCCCCAGCTCTCGCCTTTTGCAATGGGAAAGCGCGCGCGCGCGAGAGAGAGAGAGAGGACTTAATACTTGTTGTAGTTTAGAACTTTTGATGCGATGCTTTTCTTGCGTAAGCAAGCAGAATATGTTGTGTGGGTGAAGTCAAAGGCCGGGGGTAGTAGAATAGAAATGTATGCGGGGGGCGGGGTTGTTGGGCAGTCAGGATGAATATGATGGATTAGTTGCTCGTAGTTGTGCCGTGATTGACGACTACCTGTGGTGCGAGCGTGTGTCGGGGAAGCATCCGTTGCTAGCTGGTCCACCCGCCGTCCACGGCACAAAAAGTAAAAATAAAATGTATGTGCCTTTTACTCCTGGGACGTACGTGCATACGTACGTACGTACGTTCGTCGCAGTCTTAGGTCGTCGCATTTTGTACATGAATGGACGCACACGCAACGAAGTTTCAGAGCTCTCAGATCAGACAGTACAGTCAGCGTACTATGTCCAAACGGCTGTAGTACGCCGTAGTGTATGTCAAAACTGCCGTACATGGTGTGCGACTTTGCTGTAGAATCAGACATCGGAGTTCTCCAAGGACACGGTTACATAAACGGAGCAACAAAGCGCCAGGGCCCAGGGAGTTTCAGCAATCAGTACGATACGGAGTAGAGTACGTAGCAACAACGAAAGTTGCGCAAGCCTACATACCGTCTGTACCTGTTGTACCTGTACGGCACTGCACTGTTCTTTATCTCTAAGGGTCCCCTCAAAAAAAAAAAAGGTTTTATTAGCGCCTGTACGTTTGATCAGGAACGGTCACCTGGAACAATTTTCAGCCAGATTAATCGTCAAATTTGTATAGCTTTCATCAGTTGAAATAATTTCTGGGCTCAATCCATCTTAACCGAACAAGCCCTTAATAGGAATATTTTCTGGTGTGATACTTTCTTAAACGAACGGGCCCTAAGCTGATTACGAGATTACGAGACGATGACGGTGCCATTTCAGGAGCACGAAAAAAGCGAGCAGTAGTTTTCTGAAGCAGATTTCGTTACCAGCAAGTAAAATCAAGAGCTCACACGCAGGTCTGCAAGATTGGGAGGGTCTTCGATTCAAATGTGGAAAAAATCAGGACTCAACTTAATCATGTAAATTTCGAACCAGATTTTTCTTGTTTTGACCAGATAAACTGTTCACGTTTAGCTAATATTAACTGAAATTTTGCCAAAATTTGATTGAAAGGCACAAAGAGGAAACAATGGATTGTGAATTGATAAGTTTGCATTTTTTTTATCGTGAAAGCGGCAGGTGCTCTGCCTTTGCATTAAGTGGAAGATAAGTTTGCATTTAAGTATGAAAGAACTTGTGGAATCAAATATAGGTTTGTTTGAACTCTAGAATTCTAATTCACTCAAAATTGTGATCGATACGACGATGTTTTAGGCCTCACCGAGATGGATGGGTCTTTGTCAAATTTAATCGTTTCAAATCCCATAACCCTACCGGCTACCGCATACAAGCCTTCTGCTGGCTGTTGCAGGTAACGCATCGTGTGTGAACGCCAATAAACTTTTGCGAACCGGAAAAAGTCAACCAGGCGATCAGCGTCGCTCCGATCGTGCGGTAGATGCCCATGGCCAGATGAAAGTCAAAGCTCGTAGGGTTAGGTTAATGTTGGATTACGTTTCTATGGGCCCATCGGCAGTGCCTGGACTTTGACCCTACTGGTCCACTAAACTACTAGTAAATGCTTTGGCGGTTACATTGTAGAGCTGATTAATTGTATTAGTACAAAATTATCAAGGGACAAATTGCGGCTACATGACACTATTAGTACTTTAATATGATCGGAAGATAGGTCAGGTTTGGTAGAGTTTGTCGGCTTCAGCTTTTTAGTGCAATGTAGTAGGGGGTTATTTTTATCCCTCCTCCTAAAATGATATAGAATCTATCAAAGTTACTATTTTTTACTTTACTGACTCCGGCTGCTCCATACATTGTAGAAAGGAGCCGGAATCATTTGAAACCTCACCAAATGGAGTCTTAATGTTTCACGGCTGTCCTTGCAGAACGAGTTGCCACCGTAGCCCCAAGGCACCATAGGCCATAAGCCCATAAACAGTGAACGTAGGACTCGATGCCCAAACCGATATAAATTCTAAATCATTAAGCGCTAGCCACCCCAGGCCATAAGCACAACTATAAATTTACTAGTACATGCTACGAAACGCCAACACTAGACATGTCAAGAAACTTGTTTAGCTTTTCCAAAAAATAAAATCTTGATATTGTTTCCAACGCTCACACGTTGAACTACTGCTCGCCATCAATACATATCGTGTGGCCTCAGACGGGCAACCGATTGATTGACAATTTGAGAAAATGAGAAGCGAGTGGCAGCAACAGAAGAACGGCCTGTCGCCATCAATACATATCGTGTGGTACGGTGTATATTTAAGATGCTAGTGGTAGGAGAAAAGAAATGGTCACCTTTCTGCATTAAGGGTGCAGTGGGCCTATCACTGTGGCCGATCTTTGACCCTATACAACGACACGTAAAATCACGTGCTATTTTGAGTAGCTGTGTTTGTAGAGTCTGTTTGATCCGTTAGTGCTAATAGTTTGCAATTAAAATTGATAATAGAGATCGCCCAAAGCTGAGCCCTTCGCCGGAGCAAAAGAAGGTAGTGGCGCCGCTGCGGGGCCCTTCACCGGCGCGCGCGCTCGCCCAAAGCTGAGCACGTCGCCGTCGAGCGGCCTTGCGGTGGTGCCCTGAGCGCGTGCGCGGCGCAGCAGAACGCCGGCGAGCCGGCGCGGCTCGGGTGGATTTCGCG